CAGCTGATACTAGAACTGGTTCCCATATGGGATGCCAGCACCACAGGTGGAGGATTAGTTTACTACATCACTGTACTGGTCCCAAACTGTCTAAGAATGACTGTGTAATTCTTACTGTTCCATTTTATTACTACTACTTCATTGTCTCTGGCCATCTCTAATACTGAATAAGGACCCATTAAATGTTTTCAGGAGAAAATAGAATTTTAAGCCATACATTATTTACTAAAGCATAGCTCAAATGCATTTAGCAATAATGATCTAGATCATTTTGAGCATGTTTGATAGCATTAAAATCTGTTGAAATAGGAAATTCTCAATACTTTAGTGCATCTGAAAGAGTACCTTCTGGACTTTTACTCTGTGTGTACATAATATAGAGCTACCTATAAGTCCTTCAGTAACCTGTCTGAAAGTAATTCTGATAATGTGTAAAAATAATTTTTGATGTTCTGCAAATACCTAAGGATTAATTTCTCCACTAGATTGTTTTGGTTTTGTCTGTAATTTTTTTCAAGTTCTTAAATAATAATTGTTGATTTTCTGATCAGAATTTTGTTATCTACATGTTCATATGAAAAAGTTTTTTAAAATGTCATGTAAGGTTCGTTCTTAAATGAGAATTTTGTTTATTAATTTGTTGAACAGCACACGTTGGAGTACCTTTAAAAAAATATTACTAGTAATTGGTTTACAATAACCAAAGTCATATCTCTGTTGAAGAATACTTTTGTTTTGATCTTTTACATTTTAGGCAGTTTTATTTAACGTTTTATTTACAAAAACCAAAGAATTGTATATTTTTCACTTTTATGCTAAGTATTAATTAAAAATAAAATATTCCCAGAGCCAACACTGTGGCTCACCAGGCTAATCCTCTGACTGCGACACTGTCATTGCCTATGGGTGCTGGTTCAAGTCCTAGTTGTTCTGCTTTCCAATCCATCTCCCTACTAATGGTCTGGGAAAGCAGCACAGGATAGCTCCAGGTTCTTGTGTTCCTGGCTCCCAGCTTCAGATTGACTCAGCTGTGGCCTTTGCAGCCATTTGGAGAGTAAACTAGCAAATAGGAAAGCTCTTTTTTTTTTTTAAATGATGCTAGTTAATTTATTATCCATATAGGGAAGGCCAGTAAAATAAATAATAATCTTCATATAATACAGAAATTTCCAGATAGTTTTTAGATCTAATGAGAGAAATTAAACAATAGAACTTCTATTTAAATGTGCATGCTGTGACTGGCATTGTGATGCCAGTATATGTTCCAACCATTCCCCTTCTCATCCAACTCCCTGCTAATGCTAATGTGCCTGGGAAAAGCAGAAGACTAGCAGGTGCTTGGACCCCTGCCACCCACATGGGAGACCAAGATGTGTCTCCTGTCTTGAGCAGTGAGGCCATTTTACCATTTAGGGAATGAATCGGTAAATGGATGATCTCTATTTCTGTTGCTCTGTCTTTCAAAAAAATAAGTCAATGTTAAAAATTTAAAAAGAAATGTGCACACAAAAAATGCCTAAACACACATGGAGGAAACTCTCTATAAGTCAGTAGTAGTCACTTTTCTTCAGGACATTGTTGAAGTACATTAAAATAAACGAGTGCATTAATCCAGAGATAACTTTAAGAGAATGAATAGGTAAGCCACAGAGAAGGAAGACTTACTGCAAGAAATGTTTTCAACCAAGGAATATATGAAGAAATATATTTGTCATTGAGAAAAAAACAAGAATAAGTGTTGTAAAAAGATGATAATCCAAATAAATATTAATGAAAAGAACCCAATTCTGTCAACCATCATGGGAAAACAACCACATAGAATGCTATTACATCCTCACTGACCCCTAAATTAAAGAGTGACAATACCTAGTAATGGTAATCATGAAAAATAAGTGAAATTTCCATACATTGTGACAGAACACTGTTCAATTTAAAGAATCTGATGCATTTTTACACACACACACAAGAAAGTGGCTACACTGTACATTGTTTGATCAGAAGTATAAGTGTGATTTGATTTATATGAATTTTTTTTATTGATTGCATTGCATTATGTGACACAGTTTTATAGGTACTGGGATTCCCCCCACCCCTCCATAAACCCTTCCCCCATGGTGGATTCCTCCACTTTGTTACATTACCCAAGTTCAAGTTCACATGAGATTCTTTCATTGCAAGCATATACCAAGCATAGAGTCCAGCATCTTATTGTCCAGACAAATTCAATGGCTTCTTGGGGGAGACCATCCCTGGTCTGAAGGTAGAGACGGCAGAGTATCATCCCTATCAATTAAAAGCCCTGACATAACATCAGCAACAATTTATAATGTTATGGAATTAATTGACATAGTATTGAGTAACCAACATATTAAAAAAAAATGCAAGTTCTTTACCACATCCTGTGACTCCTTCGTTGACATTTCAATTTTAGTTTATATACAAGCGGGTTCTATACACCTTAAAATGGCTATAGATTACTATTCAGCTGTCTTGTGTCTATTTTCATTATATTATTTAGCATTATATAGTGTTGAAGTATAATTTTGCTGAACTTGGCTTTTTTTTTTCCCACGGGTAGTCTAGACTGGCTCATAACTCTAACAAGGCGTATGTCAACAGTTTAGGTGCAGAACAGTTTTAGGAGGGGAGTGCATAGAAATCCTCAATACCCTGGTGAGGAGTAACCAATCTTTGTGTCCCACGCTATGCATTTCCTATCTGATTCCAAGCTTTCCTTGTTGTTCTCTGTCTATTCTAGAGTTTTATTTGGTTTTTAACACTTTTGATAGGTTATAGAAACGTCTCATTAGTGTGCTTAGAAGTTGTTAGATTGGATATTTTACAGTAGTTGCCAGCGTGACTAGAAGGGTTGCTAGGACAGCATTTTGCTTCTTGGCATTAGTGCTGGTTCATGGTGTCTTTCTGATTGTGGAAATTCAACATGCTATAGCTTTGGACTCATTTTAATGATCTAATAATGAGCCTATATTGATAGAAGTCTTATATTTTAAAAAGTGTTTATATTCCTCTCAGTTTGAAGCATCAAGAGAAAATAGAAAATTGAACACGTAAGTGATCAGTGAGGAGGTGGTTTTATGTATACATATCAATATGTATTTCTGCAATAGAGAAGTCTTTTCAATTCAGATACAACTAGAATATTTGCAAGAATTTATCACGTTTTAGACCTCAGCAAAAACATCAAATTCTCAATAATGAAAATATATGGGATAATACTAAGATGAACAAAAGGAGCTGTAAAGCTTTTAAACATGATGATAAATTTCTTAAATTTCTCTTGATCATAAGGATTAAAAAGCATAGTTCCAAAATATTAAAGAAGTTTTGAATCAGAACTTACTAACTATAGCCAAAGCAATTACCAGGAAACTTCATTGCATAAACTACCTTTTGTCAGAGCCAGCATTGTGGCATAGCCAGTAAAAGTGTCCACCTGCCACGCTGGCATCTTATTTGGGCGTTGACTTCTGTCCTAGCTGCTCCATTTCCAATCTGTTTCTCTGCTGATAGCCTGGAAAAAAAAAACAGTGGAATATGGCCAAAGAACTTAGACCCCTCCCACTCATGTGGCAAACTCGGTAAAAGCTCTTCTTAGTTCTGCCCCACAGCCGTTGCACAGCCATCTGAGGAGTGAATTTATGGATGGAAGATGCTTCTTTCTGTATGTCTCTCCCTGTTTCTGTGTGCCTCTGACTTTCAGATAAATAAATCATTACTTTAAAAAAGTGTAAAGGGGGTCTGATGGAATGGCTCGGTGACTAAATCCTCATTTTGCATGCAATGGGATCCCATATGGGCACCAGTTCATGTCCCAGTTGCTCCACTTCTTATCCAGCTCCCTGCTTCTGGGCTCAGGAAGCAGTAGAGGATAAACTGAAGCCTTGGGACCCTGCAACCACATGGGAGACCTGGAAGAAGCTCCTGTCTTTGGATTGGCTCAGCTCCAGGCATTATGGCCACTTGGGAAGTGAACCAGCACGTGAAAGGTCTTTGTCTCTGTCTTGCCTCCTCTCTGTAAATTATGATTTGCCTTTCCAACAAAAATAAGTAAATCTGCTTTAAAAAAATGTATATAGGGGCCAGCATTGTAGCACAACGGATACAGCTGCTACCAACAGATCTATAGCCACATATAGGCATTGGTTCAAATCCCAATTGCTCCACTTCCAATCTAGCTTCCTGCTAATGCCCGTGAGAAAAGCAACATAGGATGGCCCAGGTGTTTGGGCCCCTGTTCTCTACGTGGGCAATCTTAAAGAAGTTCTGGCTCCGGGCTTCATCCTGGCCCACCTCTGGCTATTGGTGGTCATCTGGGGAGTGAACCAGTAGATGGAAGATACCTTTGTCTCTCCCTCTCTCTCTGATTTTCAAATAAATAATAAATACTCCTTGTCATTATAGGGAAAATAAAAATAGCTAAAAAGGAAAAAAAGTAGTAAAATTAAGAATTACAATAAGAATAAAGTGGAAACTACTAAATTTAAAAGGAGAACAATGATTTTTAATAAATTGACTTCAAAGTAAGTCAGTAAGGTAGTGGCCAGCTTTGTGGTATGGCCAGTTGAGTTGCTACGTGCAGTGCTGGCATCTGTATTTAAGTGCTGATTCATCTGCAGAGTGCTCTCTGTCTAATTCCCAAGATCTTAAATGTTTTCTTTTGGACTCCAACTACAAATTGAAATCATATGTGAGGGCCCGGCGTGGTAGCCTAGCAGTTAATGTCCTTGCCTTGAACACACCAGAATCCTATATGGGTGCCAGTTCTCATCCTGGCAGTCCTGCTCCCCATCCAGCTCCCTGCTTATGGCCTGGGAAATCAGTTGAGTACAGCCCAATGCCTTGGGACCCTGCACCCATGTTGGAGACCCAAAAGAGGTTCCTGACTCCTAGCTTCGGGTTGACTCAGCTGTTGTGGCCACGTGGGGCATGAATCATTGGACAGAAGATCTTCCTCTCTGTATATCCGACTTTCCAGTAGAAAGAAATAAATCTAAAAAAAAAAAGAAAGAAAAAGAAAAAAAATCATATGCCATAAATGAGATTTTCTCATTGTAATTACTGAAAAATTGGTTATCACACTAATAACTAATGTGAAAAATGGTGTGATCATCATCACATTAATACTTGATCACATTCAATACTTGATAGGGTTGGGAATTGAAGTGATGACTTAGTTGAAAAGTCAATATCTTACTGAAGGCCCAGTTTCCATTCTCAGCATTATGTTAGAAGTATTGTTACAGGTAAGCCAAGAGAAAAGCAGTTGGAGTAAGAAACAATAAGACTCTGACATAAAAAAAAATGCTAAAGCTACTCTCAGATTACGGTTTTTATACCTTGCAGGAGAATCAAAGGATTTAACTGTTGATAAAGGAGAATTAGGAAAATAGCAGGACTTAAGTAAAACTAACCTACAGATGTTGACAGTCAAACTATTGGAGAATACACTTGTACTAACAACATGAACAATAATAAAATCTCAACATTACCTTTGCAAGATATGTGCAAAAGGATTGCGTCAACTGAATATCCAAAATATGAAACTAGTCATGTATCATACTATTTACTATGTTAAAATGTCCCCAAATTAGAGCTAATGATAAATGCAAAACATCAAATTCTGTGCTAAAGGAAAAGATGAGTACGTTTCTTTTTAAAATGTGATTTTTTTTTCATTGATGCTTCTGGAAGCTTGAGTCTATCTTCTGACCTAGCCAATCCACTTCAAAGGATCCATCTCAGAGTTGAAGTAACAGGCACAGAACGTCTCAAAGACCAGTGCCTCTGACTTGAGCGTGTAGAGTCACCTGGAGACCTTGATGGATATTCTGGGCCCTCACCTCCAGAGTTTCTGACTCAGTAAGTCTGATCTGGCACCCTATACTCTGCATTTCTGATAGTTTTAGGTGGTGACAGTATGCTTTTGGACACCATACCTTAGGAACCCTTGCTTATGACAGGGCAATAATAAAAGCAAGAGACCTGAAAAAACCCAGGTAACTGTCTTGTCTGGTGGAAGAAATTATGGTACACCTATGTGGTGGAATTCCAATCAGCTGTTAAAAGGGAGGAGGAAGATCTCTGTACTGTTCTGGGCTATTCTATAGGATATATCAAGTGGGAAAAAGAGTTGGAAATTTAATAGTGCATGGTATTTTAAAGAAGTGAGTGGAAGTATTAAGTATATCTTTACCAGTTTTAGATATACTTCGCACAAATAAATAGTATACTTCAAGTTTATGGCATAATGACATGGATGAGTTACTCCACAATTTATCTCAGGCCTCAGAAATCATATACAAACTACTTAACCATATTCAACTGTTTTGTTTTTGCTAATTATTTCATATTAAATAATCAAAAAGTACATAATTATTACAATTAGGAACTGGGATTACTAAGGAAGAATATAAACGTAATACCAGAAAAGTGACAACCCATAATTTCGTATATAAACAGGAAATTTGTTTTCTCTCAAGATTTATTTCCTTGTTCCAACAAAGGAAAAGTCCTTAAGTCAGTGCAGCAGGAGCAGTGAGCAGCCATCTGCAGTGAAGAGAGACCAGGGCCAAGTCAGGTGCAGGCTGTAAAGTATGCAAGATAGCCAGAAAAGCAGCCCAGCCGTGCTGGACATGTCGCCAAGACAAGTTACAGTGATGTAGCTCACGCTAGCTCAAAGCAGGACGGTATGAGGGTGAAAAAATTGCCTTTGATTTCAGCATTTCAAAGATGTGAACTTCTGTGTGTTGATAGTGATACTTAAATAATTTAATTAATTAATTCATTTTACACACTGCATTTGTTTGCTGAGGCTGCAAATGCCCACAAACTGCATGGCTGATGACACAGTCCTGGGGCCCTGAAGTCTGAATGCGAGATAAACACAGATCTGCTTTCCCTTTGCAGCCTATGCCGGGAAGGCTTGCATTGGCCTCTTGGCATTTGCAGCTTCTACTGACAGCTAACTAACTTGCCTATGGCCACATTACGACTTACTTTGCACTGTCTTCTGATTTATGTGTGTCTTCTAATTGTACCTTATAAAGACGCTTGTGATTGGATTCCGCTTGGGTAATCCTGAATGATGCTGTCACCTCAGGGTCCTCAACTTAAATGCATCCACCCAGACCTTTTGTAAAATGCAGTCATATCCATAGATTCTAGAGACTGAGATGTGAACATGTATTTTGGGGCGACCATCATCATCAGCCCACTGTAGATTGATTGCCTATTCCTTATTCTGAAGAACTTCAAAATCATCACAATATACAGATGAATATATATTTGAGAGGTTCATTTTTAATAATTTACATAGAAAGCCAACATTAAAATGACAACCACAACTATTATTTACGTATCTCTGGAAGTAGACTTGTACCTGTCTTATGAGAAGTTAGCAAAATTCTGGGAAACCTAGTATTGTGATTGAGAAACAAATGAGAATGAAATTGTGTCTGAGAAAAATGTAGCAACCAAGAGAAATCATGAGAGATAATTTTCAGCATGTTAAAATCTTTATGCCTAGGTCTTATTTGCTGTTATAATTTTGAATCTTTAATAAATGAAAATTTAGAACAGCATTTTAGGTTTTAGACATTTTGAGACTAGTACTTGGCCTTGAGTGAACTGTAGGAGACGATCTGCAGCGGTGGGTCGTGTCGTTTTCATGATTAATTTCACTGATACACTTGTGGTTTGAGTTTTTTAAGAAAAGGATTCTGCCTGTTGGGGGATCATTCCAAGCAGTTGTGGTAGTTCTAGGCAGCTTCGTGATCTCTTTTCCTAGCTGAAAGTAGATTCTTTGTCTAATGGGGCTGTTTTAATCTGTTACTATGTGTTTATAATTAGGCAGCACTTCATGGCAGGTGAGGAAGTATGCATTCTCACATTTCTACAACACATTGAAGAGAAAATAAACACAAGTATTAATTTTGACTTTTAGTTTTCATTGTGTTCTGTTAACTCTGGCCAAATTATTTTTAAAAAAAAAAAACAAAAAAACTCCGTTGTAAACAAGGAGGTAGAGAAAGCAGAACTGGGTGCATTGCAGGCAGAATTCTCAGAGGAGCACCGTCATTTTGAAAATAATTTGGCAACTCCTTGAGGAAGAGAATTTCCACAAGACCTAGTGGTTTCCACTCATAAAAAGGGCTCCAGAGAACTGAAAACATGCATACACAAAACCTACATATAAGTGTTCTTTGATGATATATTCTGTTTTCCTTGAACAGCCATCACAAGAATTTCCTGTCTCCTTTTTTTTTTATCATACGTCATATCCAGCAGTTGGCATGTGTGTATATTTTTCTTTGTCCTCAGCTTATCTATATGACAGTTATTTTCCATACACGAACTTTCTCATAAGGGCTTGGATACAGTGTTAAAGCCAGGGACATTGTGTTAGTATATTGTCTGTCAAGTGAGTGTACTGTGTATTCCTTTCTTATGAAAGCTAAGAATAGATTCAGACACTGTGTTCCAGAACTTTCATATTCCCTTAAACTATGTTTCTGCATTGCTGTGCCACGAAGCTACTTGCCTGTGCATATTTTTTAGGTATCTTGAGGCTTGTCCTATGTTCCATACATTTTCATTCCAACTGCTTTGAGAGGAAGATACTCACAAACATGCACTGTGAGAATCTTCACCAGCACTAGCAATTATAATTTCTTTTTTTATGTATGCATAAGGGGTCTGGGTCGGCAATTCTCCCTTGTCGTAAACAATATTCTCATGCTATTTAACCATACAACTGAAAATTTTTCCTTGCTTGTTGCTTGTAAGAGATAGTTTCATGTGTGATTCTGGTTTGATGCAGGCTGTGTAAAATAGCTAGTGATGAAGCCAAATGCTTATATCACGTGTAAACCTACATCACTTCTGTTAGAGAAATCTTAAGATGCCCTTTCATGCTGAAAAGCTTCAATCTACTGAGTTAAGGATTTTAGCTATGGGGTGTTTTTGTGGTGGAATGGCCAACTGCCTTTATTTTAAATGATTAATACGTGTTGTCATTTGCCTCCAAATTTGTTGAAAGAACTTAAGATAGTGTTCACAGGGCTCTAGGATCCTTTCTTGATTTTATCTAATTTATCACATGCTTTATATTCTGCTTCCTGCAACTTCAGTCAAGTCTATTGGAAACTAAAAGAATGAGATAATGAATACTAACACCATCCCTTCCCCATCCTATAATCCTTCACTAGAACTTTCTGAGGAAATAAACTGAGAAGGGAGGCTGTTGGCAGTAGAACTCCAAAGAGAAGAGCCTTCCCAGAAGTGTTTGATCACAGTTTTTAATACAGGTAGCAGCATATGATTGGAGAAGAAATGGTGCTTTATCAACTCTCTGATAACAACGTTTTCTTCCCTCCCATTTCCCTTCCCCTTCCCTAGGATCATCTAGACTGTCGCAACCATCCTCCCCCCAGTCAGGCTGCCCATCACCCACCATTCCAGCAGGTAAAGTCATTTCTCCATCACAGAAGCACAGCAAGAAGGCACTGAAGCAGGTAAGCAGACCTAGTCTGTTTTTCAGAAATGTACTTTCTCATATTAAAAGCGCATGATTTTGGCAGCCCTTGAAAAGTTCTTGAAAAGCTCTTGTAATGTATTGGAAATTTCATGTACTATCCAAATTTATAGGATTTTGGTGATAATTCTTTTGACCACATTTGTAAAGTTTCTAGTTTGCCAAAGGGTGTGTCTCAAGAATGGGTATTGAGTTTCTCAGTTTTGTTTTCTTCAGGTTTTTTTGACATGATCAATGATCATGTTGATTTTTTCTCTTTTAATCTGGTACACAGAATTGCCCAGCTAGATTTTGTAATTTGCTGCAGTTATATCTTTGGAGGAAACCCTGCATTTCTAAAACATGCTATTGAAATTTCCATTTTAAGATTTTAATTTTTTTTTAAAGATTTATTTTTATAATTTTTTTTTATTGGAAAGGCGGATATACAGAGAGGAGAGACAGAGAGGAAGATCTTCCATCCGATGATTCACTCTCTAAGTGAGCGCAATGGCCGATGCCGGTCTGAAGCCAGGAGCCTCTTCCGGGTCTCCCACGCGGGTGCAGGGTCCCAAGGCTTTGGGCCGTCCTCGACTGCTTTCCCAGGCCACAGGCAGGGAGCTGGATAGGAAGGGGGGCCGCCGGGATTAGAACCGGTTGGCCTCCCATATGAATGGTAGGGGCTCAGATGCTTGCCATTCTCTGGTACTTTGCCAAGTGGAAGCTAGAGCTTCTGGGAAGTAGAGCTGCTGGGACTTGAACCGTTGTTTATATGGGATGCTGGCGTTGAGAGTTTCAACTTAACTCACTGTGCCGCAGCATTGACCTCCACAATCCTTTCTTACATCTCCTGTTGCTTCTTCAATATCGTTCATTCATAATTTATATCTTTTTCCCCAGCAATACTTGACACTGATTTTGTCTGTTGTGTTTTTCAGCTTAGCTTTGTTTTTCAAAATGCAGCTGTTTGATAAGCATAAATTTGCTGGTAATCAGAAAACCATCAAAATAACATTGCTTTTATCCTCAGATTTTGATATAGAAAATTTAATTATATCAAGTACTGGCAAGTGTGGGGAAAATAGTTATGTGTTGGTTGAATGTAAATTATTATAGAAATTTTGGAGAGACACTTTTTGCTATTAAGTTTTAAAATGCGTACAATTCGTGACTTGGAACTTAGAAAAGCACGTACACAGAAACACTATTTGCATTAAAATTTAAAACAGCCAGAAACTTTGGAGTAATCTCATATAAGTATCACTTAAGGAACTTCTTAATAATGGACTGTGTACCCATTTAGTGTGGGGGAATTATATATGATTAAATTAAGTTCTGCTGTGACGTTGAGTGGCATACTATCATTTATAAAAGAAACATATTCCCACAAAATATTTCTGTAGTATTTAATAAAAATATGTGTGCAGACAGAAATGCACATTTATTTTTGTTAAGTATTAAGAAAAATTCAGTGAGAAAAAGTAGGTTAACAAATGTGGTTACTTCTAAGAACTGTGATTGACCTAAGATTAAAAGTTATGGTTAGAAAAGCTTTGGGGCCTGGCGGTGTGGCCTAGCGGCTAAAGTCCTTGCCTTGAATGTGCCAGGATCCCAGAGGGGCACCAGTTTTAATCCCAGCAGCTCCACTTCCTATCCAGCTCCCTGCTTGTGGCCTGGGAAAGCAGTCAAGGACAGCCCAAAGCCTTAGGACCCTGCACCCGTGTGGGAGACCTGGAAGAAGTTCCTGGTTCCAGGCTTCGGATCAGCACAGCACCAGCCATTGTGGTCACTTGGGGAGTGAATCATCGAACGGAAGATCTTCCTCTCTGTCTCTCCTCCTCTCTGTATTTTTGACTTTGTAATAAAAATAAATAAATCTTTAAAAAAAAAAAAGAAAAGAAAAGCTTTGTGTTATTTGCATATTATCTTTATTTATTTGGAAGGCAGTGTTAAAGGCAATAGCCAGAGTTGTGCCAGGATTCCAGAGCTTCTTCCTGGGCTCCCACGTGGGTAGAGGATCTCAAAAGCTTGGGCCGTTTTCCACTGCTTTTCCAGACCCATAAACTGGATGGAAAGTGGAGCAGGTAGCCAGGACACCAACCAGCACCCAAATGCAATGCCAGCATCACAGAGTGGGGGATTAGCTTGCTGCTACACTGCACTGAATCCTCTTTCTTTAGGTTTTTAAAGTTTTGCTTATTTAAATTGAAAGAGTTACAGAGGATGCTCAGGGAAGAGACAAGGAAAGAGAAATCTTCCATCTGCTGATTTACTCTCCCAAAAGGCTGTAATGGCCAGAGCTAAGCTGATTAAAAACAGGGAGCCAGGAGATTCTTCCAAGTATCCACATGGGTGCAGGAACCCAAGGCCTTGCACCATTCTCTGCTGCTTTTCCAGGCCATTAGCAGGCTGGATTGGAAGTGAAGCAGCTAGCACACTAACTGGTGCCCATATGGGATGCCAGCATCATAGTTGGAGGATTAGTTTGCTATGCCACTGCACCAGTCCCATGCCTGAGTATTTTGTAGCACTTGAGTTTCTCTTCTTAAGATGTGTTCAAGATATATAAAGTGCTACTTTTCCACCGGGAAAAGATAAGTATTTTCTTAAACTTTGTTCACTAATTTATGGCATGTATACTTTTCTCATAGTGTACTCTTTCTTATAGGCAAATATGTTGTTTGGAGTTCTTTTAAAGTAATATCAGTATGGAGAATTATATAAATGCTAATTATATAAATTAGTATTTTAGAGTAAGTCTTCACTTCTAGTGTATTTTTCCAATAGTACTTGGCGAGAAAAAAATTTAACATTTTTAGTCTTGTTATTTTCTAGTTTTTAAATAGAATTATTTCAATACAAATGAGATTTTCTTTTGTATTTGCTTATTGTTTATAAAATTGACTTGGGAGTAGGATTAAAAAATTCCTGAGTGAGAAAGTCTCAATACACTTGCAAGTTAGAAGGGATTAAATTATCCTACCTTCTGCATGTGTGTATTTACATGATCTTGCGTGGCTTGAGCCTTGATCTTCTGCCTCCGGTGTGCATTACCCGGAATGTGAATCAGGCAGATGAAGCCAGGACTCACCCCAGGCACTCTGATACAAGATATGATCATCCCAGTGGCAGCTTAACACACTGTGCCACAATGCCAGCCCCTCCTACGTGATTGTCTTCAGGTTAAGACTTGACACTGGCAACTTAGCAAGCTCACAATTTTTCAGTTTGTTTCTCGAAATTATCATCTTGGTTTATTTTTCTCTCTTTTTTGCTTGAAATCTCGAGTCTAAAAAAATTATCTTTTGTATTTCCATGATTGTTTTTGAGACTTCTAATTTTTTTCCATTCAGTCTAAACAGTGTTATCAAGTATATTTTATAAATTAGGAACCTCAGGATAATGAAAATATTCTTACATGGCCAGAAGGAATCATACTGTTCTTAGAACTAGTATTACGTAGCCTTTCTTCCTTTCTGTTTACTGCATTGCTGTATGTTTCTGAGGTTTGGTAAGACAGCAACCCAGTTGCTGTATGTTTCTGAGGTTTGGTAATTGGTAAATCTCATTGTTCATACAAAATAATGCACATTATTTTTTTTACAACCACTTGTTCAGACATGGCACCTCTGTATCATACATAAGCTGTTGATATTTACACTTCTACAGGGTTGATGCATTTAGGGTTCTTCATGGTATAAAGCTTAAAATTCTTTTTTTAAGATTTATTTATTTTTACTTGTAAAGTCAGATATACAGAGAGGAGGAGACAGAGAGGAAGGCCTTCCGTCTGATGGTTCACTCCCCAAGCAGCCTCAATGGCCGGAGCTGAGCCAATCCGAAGCCAGGAGCTAGGAGCTTCTTCTGGGTCTCCCATGAGGGTGCAGGGTCCTAAGGCTTTGGTTCATCCTTAACCACTTTCCCAGGCCACAGGAAGGAAGCTTGATGGGAAGCAGGTCGGCCCGGATTGGAACCGGCGACCATATGGGATCCCAGCATGCTCAAGGCAAGGACCTTAACCACTGTGCTGTCGCTCCAGGCCCATAAAGCTTAAAATTCTATTTCTAGAAATGATTAAAAACATAGGATTCTCCCATTACAATATCAGGAAGTCTTTGGCTTACTGGTGATGTTTGAGTTGTAACAAATAGATGTTTGGCACACCAGTTAAGATAATGGTTGAGATGGCCTGTGTTCCAAACTGGAGTGCTTGGGAGCAAGTTCTGGTTTCACTTCCAGTTCCAGCTTCCTGCTAATGTAGACACTAGAAGGCAGAACGTGATGACTCAAATAACTGGGTTGCTGTCTTCGCTTGTGGGAGATCTAGACTGAGTTCCAGGCTCTTGACTGCAACCTGACCCTGACCTGGCTTTTGGGAACTAAACCAGGGAATGGACAAGCTGTGTGTGTCTTTGAAATAATACACATTTTTAATTAAAATATATAAATTACTTATTCACATTGATATGGGAAAGAAATGCAGGCAAAAATCCAAATTCTTAAGGATTATTTAGGCTTTACATTTGGTTGTTTAATTTAGATTTTTGTTGGATTTGATAGATTTCAAAGACACTGAATGATCAGCATGCTTCTCACCACTTGAAGTCATTTGCTGTCTATTATTACTAAAATCTGATTTGTTTTGTTTCTTACAGTCCGTTTTTTCTTTATAGGCTCTAAAGCAGCAACAACAAAAGAAACAGCAGCAGCAATGCCGGCCCAGCATGTCCATCTCCAACCAGCATCTCTCCCTCAAGACTGTCAAATCGGCTGCTGAAACTGCACCTGCCAAACCTGGTATGTAGTCTGAGTACTTTTCCACAGAAAGTGTTCATTACAGTGTTTTGTATGTTGGTTTTTCCAATATGTATTCTGCATTGTTTGTCGTAAACTTACTATAATAACTTACAAAATTCTTAACACTGTCATATCATCAATATAAATTCTTCCGGGATAAAAAGGAAAAATTTTAATGCAAAATACTCATAGTTATTTTTAAGAAACATCAGTGAATTTAGTGCAGGAAGGAAATCAATGACTGACTTTGAAGATGTCTAACCCATTCATGTGTGAAGGCCTCTAGTCAGTGATCTTATAAACTTAAGGTTTCCAGGGATGCACAAGTAGAACTCTTTACCAGTTCTGTCCTTTAAACATAGTGAAAGGTTTCCTCAAGAATACAGACTGCCTTTGAGTGTCCGTCCATTGGGCATGTCCATTTCTTGTTGTGGTTATTGTTTTAATTATAATTTAACCAGGCCTAGATATAACCTTGGTATTGTATTACGTAATTCCATTTGATGCCATGAACTGATTCTGTGAGCCTGCCAGACTTAATCTAAGTCCTGTAGAACTTTGCATTTTTATTGGAAAGGAAATTACCGCTAAAAGCCAGCAGTGTGCTGAGAGAATGGGAGGGGTAACTCCATTTTGCTTGTGTTAAATGAATATTGGATTGATAGATTTTCTGTCTATAACCTTATTGCCACCTATTTTTACACTTTTTTCCCCAGCAGTTTGGGAAGGAAAGCAGTCTGATGGACAGTCACACAGTCCCCAGAACTCAAGCTCCAGCTTTTCTTCTTCGGTCAAAGTGGAAAATTCCTTGCTAGGCTTGGGGAAGAAGGCTTTCCAGCGGTCTGACAGGCTCCACACAAGTAAGTTAGTTCATAAAGACTGATGTGGTATTTTACAGCATGGTTTAGCAGCTGTGTATTTGAAGTTCATCAACTATTTGGTTTAGGTTTAAAGCATGGTTTGAGCAAATATTAGACACAATTTATTTCTGTTATTGACATCACATTACTCTTAAGAAATGAAATGGGGACCCAGTGCAATAGTCTAGTGGCTAATACTCTTGCCTTGCATGTCCTGGGATCCCATATGGGTGCCAGTTCTAATCCCAGCTGCTCCATTTCCAATCTAACTCTTTGTTTGTAGCCTGGGAAAGTAGTAGAGAATAGTCCAAGGCCTTGGGACCCTGCACTCGCACGGGAGACCTGGAAGAAGCTCCTGGCTTCAGATTCAGATCGACTCGGCTTCGGCCATTGTGGCCACTTGGGAGTGAACCAGAGGATGGAAAATCTTTCTATCTGTCTCTCCTTCTCTCTTTAAATCCTACTTTCCAATAAAAAAATTAATTAATGTTTAAAAAATGAAATGAAATGAAACAGGAGCTGACGTATGGCATAGCAGGCTAATCCTGTTCTGTGGCATCCCATGTGGATGCCAATTAATGTCCTGGCTGCTCCAGTGCCCATCGAGCTCCCTGCTTATGGCCTGGAAAGACAGAAGAGGATAATACAAGTCCTTGCGCCCCTGCACTCATGTAGAAGAGCTAGAGGAAGCTCCTGGCTTCAGATGGACTCAGTCTAGCCATTGTGGCCATTTAGGGAGGGAATCAATGGGTGGGAGATTTCTCTTTCTCACTCTCCTTTTCTATGTAAATATGCCTTTTTAACAAAAATAAATAAATCTTTTTAAATAGAAGGAAATTAAACCATGAACAATTAATTTTATCTTTTTCATGTTGCCTTTGAGCTCTGAGTATCTTCATGTTCTATCCTCCCTTTATCAAACATCTACTTCAAAGATCTGTTAATAGTCATTTTGTGGATTTTTTCCTGTTTATGCCAGCAGCTGCTTTTTCCAGCATTCGTTTTCTGTACATGAAGATGAAAGACCTTATTGTGAACTATGACCAATTGTCTTTGTTGGGCTGATTTTGAAATCTCACTAAGCTGACATTATGGAAATACAAAGATTAAATACAAGTGAAGAAAGTGTTGAGCCATCAGTTGGGCAAGTCATGTAATAAATAAGCAGCAGCCAAGAGCTGGGATTTTAGGCTGAGTCATCATCACTGCTGTATAGGGGTAGAAAAGCCTGATTCAGGAGTAGAGCCAGGACTTGAACCCAGCACTCTCAGTTGGGATTCAGTTTTGCCAAGTGCCTTGCTCACTAGGACAAATGCTGCCCCTTTACAGCTCATCTTAACATCAGTAAAAATGGATAGTACAAAAGATGTGCAAGTGGATCATGGAAGGGTGAGCATTTGACCCAGGATTAAAGATGATGGCGGCTCCTCTACCCACCCAGTCCCCTAAGTGCCTTGGTCTGATAATATGATGGACCTCCCAACTCCAGCTTCCTACTGGCATGGCTCCTCAGAGGCAGTGCTGATGGCTCACACACTGAGGTCTCTTGTCCTTCATCTGGGAGACCCACAGGTTGAGTTCTGAGCTCACAGCCTCAGTGAGCCAGCAGGTGGGAGTGTTCTCTTTCCTAGTCTCCATCCCTAACCTTCATTGTGCTGCCTCTCAAATAGGTTTTTTAAACTAAGTTTATTTAAATGCTACAAAAAAAATTTAATGTGTAATGTTTTTAATAATACACATATTAGCCACTTACGGCATATAAAAGTATCTCCTGATGAAACTTTAATTAGTCCTGGGGAATAATTTATAGTTGCTTCACAGTCTCACTTTAAAACTTCAGATTTGGGCCCAGCATAATGACCTAGTGGCTAAAGTCCTCGCCTCCCATGTACTGGGATCCCATATGGGCGCCAGTTCATGTCCCAGTGGCCCCGCTTCCCATCCAGCTCCCTGCTTGTGGCCTGGGAAAGCAGTAGAGGACGGCCCAAAGCTTTGCGACCCCCTGCACCTGCATGGGAGACCTGGAAGAAGCTCCAGGTTCCTGACTTTGGATTGGCTCAGCCATTGTGGCCTCTTGGGGAGTGAATCAGCTGGCGGAAGATCTTCCTTTTTGTCTCTCCTCCTCTCTATATATCTGACTTTCCAATAAAAGTAAATAATTTTTTAGAACATCTTATTTTGTTTTATGATATAGTTCCATAGGTTCCAGAGTTGCCTGTGCCCTTTCCCAAGGTCCTTCCCCCTACACATATTGATTTTCCCTCTAGTTTTACAGTGAATAGCCTTCATAAACAGTCACAAGTCCTTCATGTTGCTGTTGAAGTGTTTCCCAACAATGTAGGCATGGATCTTTTCAGGGAGTCCATCATCTTACTGTTAGGTTAGATTCAGTTCTTTCACTGGGAGTCCATCTCTGGTCTGTATGCATAGAGACATACAGCACTTTGTCTCCATACTGAACATATCGGTCTCCACTACACTTCCATTATATCCCCTAATTTACAGAATCAATGAACACAGTCCACATCAGGGTGAAAATAAGTTTTCATCACTGTGAAATTAACAGCTGCTACTAAAAGAAAGTGCATTGCAAGAGTGGTGAAAACAGGAATCAAAAACCTTGTAGGAATAGATGCCAGTGTGTGACTCTTGCAGCACTGGAGAAATTACAATTAATAAGTATAACTTCATTTTTCATGATATGTAGCAAAACAGTGTTAAAATGGACATGTACAATCTCAAGTGTTTATATTTGGTGCGTATACATTTGCTGTGTTCATTTCTTCTTAGCATATGCTTCCTTTTATTATTATGTAGTGTCCCTCTTTATCTCTCTTAATATTTTTCATGGTGAAGTCTGTATCAGCTGATATTAAAATGGCTACTCCAGCTCTTTTTCTTTTCCATTGGCCTGGAATGTCCTTTTTCCATCCTTTCACTCTCAGTTTCCTTGAGTGTTTGTTGATTAGATGTGTTTCTTGTAAGCAACAGATACGTGGGTCCTGCTTTTTGATCCATTCTGTTCATCTATGTGTTTTGATTGTTCAGTTTAGTCCATTTGTATTCAGAGATGTTATTCAGAGGTTGAGATTTATTCCTGTCGTGTGTGTGTGTTGTGGTCTTTGTTTAACTTTGGATTCTTTTGTGGCCTTTATTGCAAAGATCTTTGCAAAAACAAAAAAACTTCAGATGTTACTAAAAGTGTCATTCAGAGGTGAAAGCACAACCAACATAGAAGCAGTTAGGATCTGTTCAGGCAGGGACAGCCAGCATTGCTAGCTCTGTGAATTGCTGTATGGGGGAGGGGGAAGCTAAGCTGTTGCTTCCCAGCCTGTCGAGCATTGTGGAATTGGTTATACAGATGGGCAAGCACCTACTGTGACCATCAGTGGGAGACTGAATGTAAGCTGTTTTAGAGATTTTCAGGTTTGAAAATTTCCTGGTAGATTGACTTACTGTCATTTATTTACTATGTCAATTATTGATAATGCTTTTTATTACCTAGATAGAACTTACTGGTTTGGTTTTGCTCAATGTGTACCAATTCTCCTGTGATCAGTTCTCACCTGGCATATCTTCATATTACTCATTTCTGTATCCTTGTGTTTTGCATATATTTATTTAAACCTCATTAATTAGCTAGCTGAACTTTGTTTATTTCTTATAAATCCAGTATGATTATCTTTATTTTATTTGTCTTTATTTTCATGTATTGTACTCATTAATATATTTGGACTATTTAAGTTTTTTTTTTCAACCTTGTTCTATTCATTTTAGTTTCATTTCTTTTTATAAATTTTTTTGGATTGGATGAGTTTTTAAATATGTTAATTTTTTTCCTCTCATTCATTTGATTTGCATTCATTTTCTAGTCTAGTATTTGGTTGCAATTTTACCTTGTGGGTCCCTGGGCAGGAGAGCGACCAAAAAGAAATGAGGGGACAGTGCTCTCTTGGGCAACTGGCAAGTTTATTTCCAGGATTCCTGTTTATATACACTCAGCAAAGCAACGGTTCAAACACAGTTCAGCTCAGTTCAGACAAGGGTTACAAAGGTCAGGTTTGATATACAACTCGTGCCACCTGTGTAAGCAGGGAGTTCTAGGGGAGCTGGCAAGGCAGCTGGATCAGAGCACCATTGGTGTGAGATACTGATAAGGAACACTACTTTGATCCAGGATGATTGGCTAACTAGAGCACAGATGTTCGCCATATATCAGGAAAGCACAAAAGCACATCCAAGGATTCACTGGGGGCAAGAGTGGACTGTGGGTGAGAGGTCCTCGCCTCCTTTGCTAGAGCCTCTTCTCAGAAGCGTCCCATAGGCCTTTGATATCCTGTCTTTCCTGCTGAGTGTATTCCAACAGACTCCCACATGGAGCAGGCAGCTGGCCCAGTAGTTAAGCTATTGTTTTAGATGTCTGTGTCCCACACCCAAATCCTTGCATGGGCCTCCAGCTCCTGACTCCAGCTCCCTGCTAATGCAGGTCTTCCGAGGCAGCCGCAGTGCTTCAGGCATTCTTGTGAGAGATCTGGATAGCATTGTGGGCTCTGATATCAGCCTCAGCTCAACTGAAATCATTGCAAGTAATTGGGAGTGAATCAGTAAGTGGAAGCTCTGTCTCAGATTTTTTTTTTAATTATAACAAATGTATAATTCTTTAGTTTTAGTTTTATTGGAAAGCCAGATATACAGAGAGATGAGGAGAGACAGAGAAGATAATCTCTGTTGATTCACCCCCTCAAGTGGCCAAATGGGATCCTGGCGCATTCAAGGCGAGGACTTTAGCCACTAGGCTCCATGCTGGGCCCTATTTTTATTTTTCTAATGACTATAATCATAGTGTCATAATTTCCGATTTGTTAGGTGACCTTTGTGATGTACTACATGCTTGCTGATCTATCTTGAGGAAAGTCCTTTAGTCTGGTGTGCAGTTACTTTTGCTTGTGCTTCAACCAGCGATCCACGCGGATCTATATGCAGGACCCTGTGCCTTTATGCAAGTAATTCTATGTATATTATTTCTGGGTCCTAGAGTCCTATGAACATTAACTATTTGCTAGATATTGTTACATTCTTTGATAGAAGAAGATACTACTTTCAGCCCCACCAACAGGCCCTGGGAGAACTTTTTGGTTTTCCCTCCACACATTCCCGTCACTTTATTGGAATATTAATACTCAATATTTTATTCATTGCTTCAATTTAGTTTCCTTAACAGTAACACTTTAGCATCTGCTTATGGTTAGTAAACTGAATTGCTTGTTAATTTCCTTTGCTTGTTTTCTTTTGACTTCATCTGTTTTTTGGGGTTTTTTTTTTTTTACTAATTTATAAATTCAATGTGAAAAATAGTAACATTTTTTCACAGCTTGCTAATATTTTCCCAAGTTAGTCTTTGGTTTATATTGTTTGTCATATACATAATAAACCTTTGTGTATTCAAATCTGTTTCTTTTCTATTATTATTTTTTGGTAAAAATCTGTTAACTGATTTATTGAAATTACTAAGCTGTGTTAAATCATTACATTTTCAGCTATGCAAGTTAGAATCATGAAAAACATTCTGATAGGAAAAAAGAAGGCTGCCATTGCTAGATTCTGGTCTTCAGCTTTTTTAGACATTCTGTATATTTGTCATTCATCATAAAGCTCATCAGTTTCTTTACAGTGAAGACTAGCATACTGGGACATAATGGATATATACAACATGCATCTTTACTCCCAAGTAATAATAGGATTCCCATTATTTTAAGTTATACTTCTCTCTTTGAACATTATTTATTTTTATTAAAAAGCAGATTTTACAGAAATAGGTTTCCCATGCACCGATTTTCTCCCCACACATGGCCACAACAGCCAAAGCTGAGTGGTTGTGAAGCTAGGATCCGGAAGCTTTTGCTAGGTCTTGCACGTGGGTGCAGGATCCCAAGGATTTGGGCCATTCTCAGGCCATAAACAGAGAGCTGGTTTGGAAATGGACCAGCCAGGGCATGAACTGACACCCATATATGATGCCAGCACCATGGGCTGGAGGATTAGCCTGTAGTTAGTCATGACACTGGCCCCCTTTAACACTTCTTTATTTATTTTCCTCATTTTAGTACACTAATCAGGCCATGATGTATTAATATATCAGAAAGTCAGGTGAAATGAATGATTGTGCCATTGTAGTAACTTGGGGACAAGTAATAGGAGATTATTGGAGGGAGCAATAATCACCTATGTGTGTAAATCTGTATCATGGGGAAAATTGATTGAACCTTTATAATTTAAAAAAAAAGTCTTCAGTTTCTTTTATGAAATAATCCAGTCTATCAGATGATGTACTGTTTTTTCAGGAGAGAGCAATTAGATAGTCTGTTATCTTCTGTAAGGAGTAAGACTTTGTTAGTCTGAGAAGAAATTTCTGAAATCTTTGTGTATTAACCTTGTTTATGGTATGACAGCTGACTGCTGGATTTTTGCACTGCACAATAATGTATAATATGTTCGGGTAGAAAGAAGGCTGTCATGAAAGCATAAGGAGACCTAAATGATTGTTTTCTGTATTTCTGTAGGGCAAATGAAAAGGACTAAATTTGCTGACATTGATGTTGAAACACCAGACTCCATTCTCGTTAATACCAATCTGCGAGCACTGATCAACAAACACACTTTCTCAGTCCTTCCTGGAGATTGCCAACAGCGGCTACTGTTACTGCTTCCGGAAGTAGATCGACAGGTACGTCATTTCAGGCATAAGCCATTTTAAATGTTTTTGTGTCACCTTAATGCCCCATTAAGATATTTTAGAGTAGCATTTTAGGTATACATGTAGGGAAGTGGTTTGTTTAGATTCATTTCTATTGTTTGAAAGTTATGGCAAGAGAGGGAAAACGAGAGATCCTGCTCAGATGATCAAAACAACTAGGTCTAAAGCAGGCTGAAGCTGGGAGCCAGGGAGACCTGCTAGGTCTCCCAATTGGCACCTCAGCTAGCTTTCACTGCCTTCTCTGGCAGTTAGTGGGGAGCTAGATGAATAGCTGGAACGTGAACTGGCACCCATATGGAATGCTGGCATATTAGAACGTAGGGAGCCATAAAATAGTTTTAGAAAGAATTGTCTTGGTCCAGTATCAGGAGGTTATAGGTCAGAGCTGATAGATAGATTTAGACTGGCACACAAAATGGAATTCCACTGATGAAATTTAGAATTTTCACCATTCTTTTTGTGAATTTTTTTCCTGAAAGAGTTGTTTGTTGCTTCAGTATAAATATGTTAAGTTCAATTTTCACAGTATAAAAATTAAAAATAACAAATATACCAAAGTTTTAGGACGAAAGAGATTTTACTTGATTAGGAATAAGGCAAAACTTTCATCAAGATTAGTAACTGGCAAGTTACTTCCCAGCTCTGTTCTGTTTTTTCCCTCTGAGAAAGGAATATGGAAGGAACCATTATGATTTTCTAAGATTTATTTATTTATTGGGTTTAAAAAATTCATGAGCATTTCCAGACGTAGGCATTCTTAATGTTATGTAAGTGGATATGGCAAAAGCCCACCCTGGGGAATATGTTGACATGTGCCAGCATTACTATGTTTGATACTTAAAGGACCTCAACAAATGAATAATAAACATAAGCATCCTTAGGGCAGGTGGGTAGCCAGCTGAGTAAGAAACTTGAGTCCCGGGCCCAACATGGTAGCCTATTGACTGAAGTCCTCACTTTGCATGCGCCGGGATCCCATATGGGTGCCAGTTTGTATCCTGGCTGCTTTATTTTCCATCTGGCTTCCTGATTGTGACCTGGAAAAGCGGTAGAAGATGACCCAAAGACTTGGGACCCTGCATCCATGTGGGAGACCCAGAAGAGGCTCCTGGCTCCTGGCTCCTGGCTCTGCATTGGCTCGGCTCTGTTGTGGTCACTTGAGGAGTAAATCAGCAGATGGAAGATCTTTCTCTCTTTCTCTCCTTCTCTCTATAAATCTGATTTTGCAATGAAAGTAAATTCCAGCCCCCCGCCCCCCCAAAAAAACGTGCAGAAAGATGAGGAAATACTACTAGGAAAAATTTTACCATTTCAATTCCAATATTGGGGAGAAATTAACTGGCATATTAGCATCTGTTGGCAGGTAAAAGTATACTCGTGTAATACTGGTACAAATACCTGTTGTCTTAGCCTTATTGGAAAAAAATCTGATAATATCTAGTTAAACACACGCTAATATTCTTGATCTAGGAATGTATCCCTTTTTAATAAAAGCATTGGCATAGTTATCTCCACCAGGATGTTCGTGGCAGTTTTGTTGATGATGGGAAAACCTGGAAAACAAAGTGTTATTAAGGAATTGTTAACTGAGTTACATTGATAAAATGAAATAGTATGGAGCCATTATAGAAGAGCTTAAATTATTGACATGGAGAGACTTCCACCGTGTATTCTTTGAGAAAAGTAAAATGGGAAGCAGTGTATGTAACTAACTTACCCCTTTTATTTCTTTTATTGTTATATATTTTTTTAATTTTTGAAATTTATCATACTTTTTTAATATGTTTTTATTTTGAATGTTTGAATTATGTGGTACAATTTCATGTATACTGGGATTTCCCCCTAAACTCCCATCCACTGACAAATTTTCCCCATTTTACTACAGTGGTGTAATCCTTCATAAGGAATCATAATTCCATCAGTCTCTTATTTAAATGTACCCTGACATTGCTGGTACAGACAATGTCAGACAGTCCAGCATCCCATTGTTATACATGTTCCATTATACTCCCACATCTGGATATGGTAGACCCCAGTACTCCATCACAATACATTTCCATAATTGAGAAGCCATGAAACAAAGTCAACAACTGGTGTGAGTTAGAACAACAGCTTCAATAACAACAAATTACAGCACCATGAAAAAACACGCCACTGAGTAACCAACACATGCGTGACAAAAAGAAAACACAAAAATCTCTTGAGAAAAATTATGCCACCATGTAATCCATGAGCCAGCAATGAATTCAGCAAGACATAAGAAAGTATTTGAAATAAATAAAACTGAAATTAAAAACTTCGAAACACATGGGATACAGCCGAAACACACATACACACCAAAAAAAACCCAGTATGGATCGAATTATTGAAGTTACACTTTGCATGCTGGTTTCCTTATAGAAGAGATATATTGTATTTGTTCTTTTGTGATTGACTCATTTCACTGAACATAATGGTCTCTAGTTGGGACCACCTAGTTGTAAAAAGTATAATTTCATTCTTCTTAATAGCTGAATAATATTCCATGGAGTAGATGCACCGCAGTTTTTTTAACCACTCTTTGGATGCACATCTGGATTGTTTCCATGTCTTTGCTATTATGGATTGTGCTGCTGCAAATATAGGATTACAGATCCCCTTCTCCTATGCAGATTTCATTTCTATTGGGTATATTCCTAGGAGTGAGATAGCTGGATCATATGGCAGGTTTATTTAAAATTCTCCAAGCATTCTCCGTACTGATTTCCACAGTAGTTGTATTAGCCTACACTCCCACCAGCAGTAAAGGAGGGTGCCTTTCTCCCCACATCTATGCCAGCAGGTGTTGTTAGTAAGTTAGTTGAGTCTCACTGGAGTTAGGTGGTACCGCAATGTGGTTTTCATTTGTATCTCTCTAATGGCTAGGGAGCCTGAGCATCTTTTCATATGTCTGTTAGCCATTTGAATCTGTTCTTTTGAGAAATGCCTGTTCATTTCCAATGCCCATTTTGGTACAGGGTTGTTTTTGTTGTGGTGGTGGTAGTGGTTGTTTTTTGTTGTTGTTGTTGTTTTGTTTTGTTTTGTTTTTGTTGTCCCTGGGTTTCTGAAGCTCTTTGTAAATCCTGGATATTAGTCCTTTATCACTTGTGTAGTGTGCAAAAGTTTTTTCACATTCTGTTGGTTGCTGCTTCACTTTGTTGTCTCCTTTGCTGTACAAAAGCTTCTTAGTTTGATGTAGTCCCATTTGTTCATTTTGCATTTGATTGCCTTTGCTTTAGATGTCTTTTCTAAGAAGTCTTTCCCTGTTCCTGTATCTTGGAGTGTGCTTCCTCTGTTTTCCTTTAATAGTTTGATGGTTTCTGGGTGTAGATTTAGGTCCTTGATCCATTTAGAACTGACTTTTGTGTAATGTGATAGGTGTGGGTCTTGCTTCTTAATTCTGCAAGCTGCTATCCAGTTGTCCCAAAAGCATTTGTTGAATAGATCAAGCTTTTTGCCTGGATTATTTCCAGTTTTCTTGTCAAAGATTAGTTGACTATACATGTCTGGGCTGCCTTCTGGTGTTTCTATTCTGTCCTGTTCCATTGATCTTCTTCTCTGTTTCTTGAAATTTATTATGCATTTCTTTATAGTCTGAAATCCCCTTACCCCCATTTTCGGCTCCTATGATTGATTTTTTCCATAATGACACTCTCCATAAAGAGTTACAAATCCATCAGTCTGCTATTTAAGTGTGCCCAGACAATACTTGTACACACACTGTCAGATAATTCATCATTCCATTGTCTAGATATATCCAACACTTAGATATATCCAACACTTTCATTGGGAGTCGGCCTAGCAGCTAAAATCCTCACCTTTCACATGCCAGGATCCCCATGGGCACCGGTTCTAATACTGGTAGCCCCACTTCCCATCCAGCTCCCTGCTCGTGGCCTGGGAAAGCAATCGAGGATGGCCCAAAGCCTTGGGCTCCTGCACCAACATGGGAGACATGGAAAAGGCTCCTGGCTTTGGATGGGCTGAATCCAAATGGAGTGAATCATCAAATGGGATATCTTCTCTATCTCTCCTCTTCTCTGTGTATCTGAGTTTCCAATAAAAAGAAAACCTCAGGAAAAAAAACTGTAGATGAATGTTCATGTGTGTGGTCCTATGAAGCCGGTTTTTTATCCCTGCCGGGTGGGGAGTGGAAGGAGAGAAAGAAGGGAGGAGAAATAAAGAGAAAAGGTGGTGTTTTTAGGACAAAATGATACCACTTTATAAAATGGGCATCTGTTTCTTTTTTTATGATGGTTACATGTTGATTAGGGTGATTAGGGCACAAAGGGTCAAGGGCTACAGGAAAATGGGTAAGACCATTATTTCCACATTCTCTTTTTTCCTTCCTGTATCTGGATGAAGGGGAGAGGTAAAGGGAGAAGCCACACCCAGTCTCCTAACCGTCCCAGGGTCCCCGATGTAGGGCATGCTCCGAGGACACTGCTCAAGTGGTTCTGAGAGTTCAACAGTTCTGAATTGCTGCCAATCTCACCATTCCAAGCACGTTGAAATCTCTCCAGAATCCACTGGCTGACATAGTCCATCTTAGAATCTCCATTTGTCCAGATTTTCACTGCCAACACATGGCTGGGGTAGATGATCAATTTGTTCTGCCCTCCGTCCTCTGTTGTGGTACCAGATGTCCTCTGGATCATCCATTTGTAATGAACAGCATTAGTGAGAGACAGTCATTTCTCTAAGAAACCAGGTGTACACACCTTCTTTTCTAAAATGAAAAGCAAATAGCACATGATACCTTTCACTTTGTTTGTGAGCTTCTTTGGCTTATTCTTTGACTCAGGTTGGTCCAGATGGTTTGCTAAAGCTCAGTGGCTCAGCGCTTAATAATGAGTTCTTCACATCAGCGGCCCAAGGCTGGAAGGAACGGCTCTCGGAAGGTGAGTATGCTACCTGCCGGCCTCCGGGCTTTCCTTGTGCCTGGAGCTACAGGAGTGCATGCTGGCAGCTCTCCACCTCAGCTGGCAGGCATTTGGGACATTTTGGTGGATGCAGGCAAGTTGATTCCAGCAGGTGGGATCAGCCATCCTGTGTGAAACATGAGTCTGTATAGCCATGTTGACTTCTGAGGGAGTCCAACAGTAAGCTTCTTTTGTGATTTAATGTTACCTGAGAAATCACACCTTATTCTTAATATTCTGGTTCAGTAATTCTGGATTATTGCTTAGGAATTAAAACTCTAGTAACTTGCTAAAAAGCAGAGTATATAACTGCTTATCTTGTAGTGCAATGAATCACAGTTTTCTTAGCAATAAGATTGTCTCAAACTAGCAATGAAAGGTATCTAAAAGAATTTTTTGAAAAACCAGGGCCTGGCGCAATAGCCTAGTGGCTAAATCCTTGCCTTACATGTACCAAGATTCAATTTGGGCTCCAGTTCATGTCCCAGTTGCTCTACTTCCCATCCAGCTCCCTGCTTGTGACCTGGGAAAGCAGGAGAGGATGACCCATAGCCTTTGGATCCTGTTTCCACATGGGAGACTTGGAAGAAGTTCCTGGTTCCTGGCTTTTAGATTGGCTCAGCTCTGGTCATTGTGGCCACTTGGAGAGTGAACCAGCTTTCTCTGTCTCCTCCTCTCTGTAAATATGCCCTTCCAATAAAAAATAAATAGAAATATTTTTTAAAAAACTGTTTTATTCGGATATTCCATTTGAAATCTGGTCAAGTGGCAATGAGAACATCTTAGTCTAGATTGTGACCAAGATTATTTACGGTCCTTGACTGTCACATGTGCTGTGCGTCTGACCTGGATTTGAGATACTTACGGTGACAAGCTTAGGTGTTTTTTTTTTTTTTTTTAAGTTTTCCCAAGTGATATGCAGCTGTAATTAAGACTGCATTATTTCAAATATCACATCTCACAATATGTATAGAATCCAAAATAATGCTTGAAAAGTTATGTATAGTTATGCTTTAAACAAGTGTGAAAAGATTTAAGCAGATTTGTAAGGAAGGCGTTAGAAATGCTGTTCATTGCTTACTTGTCATCAAATCCCTGACAATTGGAATTAAGTGGCCAGCTAGCGTAAGAGAGTACCTCAGTGAGTGTGGGAAAACGGCATCTCTGGAGTGCTCTCATGTTTGCATGGCCCGCTGCAGCTGTGGGGTTTCCCGTGCTTTAGAACGGATTCTGCGTGGGAGGACACTGGCCCATCACCATGGCCCTGTGACAGATTTCCTTGGGCAGCAGTCCCTTTTTCTCTGAAAGAATTCATTAAAGTCACATACACACTTTAAAACACATCAGTTGCCAGTACCTTTCCTTAAGAATACATTGTTATTCAACCCCCAAATTTTTTTATAAGTAAGCACTATCAATAGTAATGCTTTATTATCAGGGCTACTTACAAAGAAAAACCATACAAGCCAATGACGGCTGCACCTGCAGTCACATGTTAATGGGCTACAGGCACTGAACACTGCATTTGTGAACAGATTGGTACTTCTGAACCTCACTGTATGTGACATGGGGGGCTCAAAAGCAGAAATTCTGGTTTGAATCCTTTGACAGAGTTTCTCTTTACCTATTTCTTCTGTGACATCCGTCGTCCTTTAACCCTTTTCTTTTCCTTCCTTCATTTTAAATACCCTCCTTGGGGTTTGTTTGTTTGTTTGTTTGAAAAGCAGAGTTACAGAGAGATGTGAAAAAGTTCTTGTATCTACTGGTTCATTCCACAGATGGCCATAATGGCCAGGTCTAGGCCAGGGCAAAGCCACGCACCTGGAATTCTATCCTGGACTCTCATGTTGGTGGCAGATGCCCAAATACTTGAGACACCTGCTACTTTCCCAGATGTATCAGCAGGAAGCTGGATCAGAAATGGAACAGCCAGGACTGGAACCCACACTCACATGAGGTGCTGGCATTGCATATGGTGGCTTAACTCATGGCATGATAATACCAGCCCCCATATTCTACTATTTCCACCTCTTATTCCCTGATACCCTACCAGTAAGTATGAATAAATATGACAGGCAGCTTTTCTGAGCCATAAACCTGAAAAAGGCCTACCCAGTAGTCTGTTGTTGGAGTGGGCAGGATTGATGTGGCTGGTGGTTTATGCAAATACGTGGCATAGTCACAGTATTGGCATGTTGAATGTCTTCTTGCTGGGGGATAAAACTGGTACATTTTTTGGAACAGTTAGAAAACTGACAACTCCAGAATCATTTTCTACCCTGTTTACTAGAATGTCAAACCAGGTACTAGCTTTTCATTTTATAAGTTATAGGGAAAGTCCCCAAATTCAACTTGCCTTAGAAAAGCAGAATTTTAAAATAATAAATTTAGTGTAAGCATATCACTTTAAAAACAAGCCAGAGTTTAAACTAGAAGAAATCTGTATGTACTATGATGTTAGGATTAGGGAGGATGTGCTGTAGCCCATCACACGGGCTCAGGTGGCACCCCTGAGGGCTGGAGACTATGTAGAGGGCTGTGCAAAGCTCCTCTCTCCCTGGGCCTGGATGGCCTGGAGGTACTGCTTCCAGGCAGGTGTTCTGGGGATTCTGTGATTTCATAGGACAGAGTCCTGGGTGCAGCCTGAGTCCACTATGAGTTAGAAATACTGCTGAACGGAATGTTCCTTTCTTCAAATTTTGTTTTTAAAATTTATTTTAAAATTTTAAAATTTATTTAAAGGGAGCAAATTGCATGTATTTCATAAATGCAATTTTAACATAATGATATTTCCCACTGCCTCTCTCCTGAATAATCTTTTTCTGCTGCTTTACAGGTGAGTTTACTCCCGAGATGCAGGTGAGGATTCGACAAGAGATTGAGAAGGAGAAAAAAGTGGAGCCATGGAAGGAACAGTTCTTTGAAAGTTACTACGGTCAGAGGTAATAGCTTCTGTGAACCCAATATCAATTCCTGCATATTTTATCATGGGAACTTCATCTCACTGACTCCACAAACAAATGTAATGTGCCACTTTCTGTTTCTATTCATGTCACCAATTTTTTTTATAGTGCACCAAGTGAGAAAGTTTACTTAAAAGGTGAGGGAACACACACACACTGTTCAGGAATAGAGTAGACCAGGAAGAATAGGGGAGGCAAGTTTAGAGCCAGCGCTTAGCACTGTGTCTCATCCTTGTCTGCAGGAAGGGCAAGAGAGAGCCCTGTCATCAGTTCCGTACCAGGAGGACTTTCCTTTTATGAGCCACGGGGCCTCAGAATTTGTTTTGTAAGACTTACTTTGTTTATTTGAAAAGCAGAATTACAGAGAGGGAAAGACAGAAAAAATATTCCATCCACTGGCTTACTCTCCTAAAGGCCCCAATGACTGGGGTTGAGCGAGGTCAAAGCAGGAGCCAGGAACTTTTTGCAGGTCTCCCATGTGGATGCAGGCCCCAGGGCCTTAAGTCATCCTCTGTTGCTATCCCAAGTGCATTAGCACGCAGCTGAATCAGAAGTGGAGCATCTGGGACTCTAACCCATGTGGGATGCCAGTGCCACAGGTGGAAAATGAGTTTGTTATACCACCACACTGGACCCCTGGTGTCAATTTTGATTCCAGCTTCTTGTTAATATACCTGGAAGGCAGCAGATGATGATCCTCCAGCTTTTTGTGATCCATGCCTCTAGACAATGTGGCCACTCTATATAGAAGTGATAACAGTAACCAGCATTACTAAGCAGTTAGGTAACTATGTGAATTAGCTTCAGTAACAGCAGCACTAAGGTAATTAACCTGTGTCTCATTGAAGAAATGAAGTTACACAAAGCAAATTACTCAGTAGTTCATAGTGGACAGTTGATGTCAGAGGCAGGATTTGCACCTAATCACTCTGATTCCAGAACCTTCCCTACCAGTAACAAAAGTAAAAAATACCTTCTTATATTGGGGTTCCCCATGGTGTTGTCATATTCCAGTATCTCATGGCTGATAGCTTCAGTAAAGTGGGACATTTCTCAACGAGGATATTGCTTTCTTTCACTCTTTAGTTCTGGTCTGAGCCTTGAAGATTCAAAGAAGTTGACTGATTCCCCAAGTGATCCTAAAGTCAAGAAAATCCCAGCTGAGCCGCCCAAATCCACCCTTCCTGCAGAGGCCTCTCCTACCAGAACAGTGCCCACTGCTCCCCAGTCAGAGTGTAAGGAAGAAGCAGTGTCCACACCATCACCAGTCAAAAAGGAACAGCCCGAAAACCAAGATGAGGGTCAGCCTAGCCTCCTCCTGTGCCCAGAGCCGCTGCTTCCCCCGACTGGCAACACCACCGCAGAGGAGCCAGGCTGCATGCTCCCCACCCAGGGACCCAAAGATGAGCCGGTCCTGGAGCAGAAGCCAGTGGCCTCTGCCCAACAGGAGTCTGAGAAGGATAATCATATCACCCCCGTTCCTACTTCCCACGAGAGTGAAAGCCACGTCACTTCACTTACATCCCCAAGCAAGCCCAAGAGTCCTGGAGTAGAGAAACCCCTGCTGAAGCCCACAGTAGAGGCAGGTCTGCAAGAGACCCCTGCAATAGAATCCCCAGCAGCTCTTGTTGATCAAAGCCCTGAAAGCCTCAAGAGGAAATGCCTCAGCCAGGAGGAGGCACCTGCGAGCTGGGAAAAGCGGCCACGGGTCGCTGAGAATCGCCCGCCCCAGCCATTTCTGGCCTCGCACCAGCCCTTTCTCAGCAGAGGAGACAGGGTTCCGGTGCGCAGGGTACCACCTCTCAAGGTAAGTGAGCAGAGACGCTGCAAGTGGAGAGTTGGCCTGAACATGAAGGGTTTGGTCAAACTTACTGAATTTCAAGTAATTTGTGACATTTCTTAAAGCAGAAAGTCCTATATACTTGGTGTGCTTGTAACTGGGCTTAAACAGATGAAGTTACTGATAACAGGACCGCCTTCTTGCACATCTTTATTTACATCTAAATTGGAGGTCACTATGCAAATCACACCCACTTCCTCCACACTCCCAGCTCTTGTACATTAAGACAGTTCTGGAACTGATTCTCACATGGCAAAGTAATTATGAGAATAAGAGCAAGGAGGCCACTGGTGTAACCAGAAGCTCTTGTCTTGTATTGAGAACCATGATATCTGAGTGTGCTCTTTCCTCACTGCCAGTAACTGGTCAGATGTTCAGGAATCTGCAATTACCTGCAGCTGCCTCCTATGGAGGGAAATACGGGTGCCTGCCCTGGGTACCTAAGGAACGTGAGTTGGCACAGCCTTACTAAGCTGTCTGCCTATCCTGTCTTTAATATGACTGTGTGCCCATCAAGAATGAGGCACTGGGTGGCAGTGGGTATGGACCCAGGAGAGCACTCTCCTTTCCCCTTCTGTTCAGCCTAGAGGAACCAGAATTAGTGCCATCGGGAAATATTCCTGATATTCCATCAGGAGATAATAATTTCCTACCATTCATTTGTCATATCCATGTGCCACTTGACTACTATCTCACTGTGCTTCTTAATTACTAGTACAATCGGCAGTCATTCTTTGCTGCCCTTTGATTTGAAGATTTGTGGCTTCAACACCTAGGAATCTTGAGCTTTAGTTGATATTGGGTTTTTTTTTTCTGCCATTAACATTCACTGTCATGCTTTGCTAAAGATCCTGGTGTTGATGAGAACCACATTTCCTATTCTTATAAAAAATATTATAAAGCTTTCTTCAAAGAATGTTGGTCACAACTTCAGGACTCAGTGCTGAGGTGCAGTTTCCTTTTTTTTTTTTTTTTTATTATTGTAAATACTGATTTATTTATTTGAAAGAGTTTTCAGAGAACAAGAGCTCTTCCATCCTGATTCACTCCCCAGATGGCCCTCAGGGACCCTCAGGCCCTCAAACCAAAGCCAAGAGCCTAGAGCTTATTCTGGATCTCCTCCTTGGGGGCAGGGGCCGCTTTCCCAGGTCCATTCACAAGGAGCTGGATTTGGAGTGGAGCAGCTTGGTTGCAAACCAGTACAACCTCACTGGTGTGGCTTTATCTGCCGCACCATAGTGCCAGCCCCGAGGTGTAGTTTTTAAGATGCATCATGGTCTGCCTATTTCCTGTTAATGTGGACAGACTCAATGCTGAAAACAAATCCACTGGGTCAAAAGCAATGCAGTTTTACTTTTTTTTTTTTTCCTCTACCTGCTCTCCCACCCAAAATGCATTTCACCAGAATTTGCTTTGGTAACTCTTTTACCTTAGACCTATTAAAAATCCCACTTTCTTTTTTTCTTTTCTATTATCATTTTAAAAATCCCACTTTCTATACACAGACACCCACGTACATGCTTTGTTTTACATTCAGAATGTACTTGAAAAGACTTGACTCCTGCTTCACAGGGATAGGGCAGCTCAATAAGATAAGTTGTTAGCAGTGGCTTTGTACTTAAAGCTTCTCCTTTATTCTGCATAACCAGGTAATCTCACCACTTACATGAATGATCAAAACTCGTTATTGTAAGTAGTAAAACATCTAAACCACTTTAAATGGTTGTCCTTATTCGATTTCACCATGTTATCAAAGATTTTCTATTACTATTATAAATATCTTTATTGTGCTAGATATGGTGTTGCCAAGAGTATTTCTGTATAAAATTGCTCGTCTCTGTTTAAAATTCCCTAGATGGGCTAGCATTGTAGCACAGTGGTTTAAGCCACTGCCTGCAATGCAATGCCAGTGTCCCCATATGGATGCAGGTTTGTGTTCTAGCTGCTCCACTTCCAATCCAGTTCCCTGCTAATGCACCTGGGAATGCAGCAGAAGATGGTCCAAGTGCTTGGGCTCCTGCCACCCATGTGGGAGACCTGGATAGAGTTCCAGGCTCCTGGCCTTGGACTGGCCCAGACTTGGCTTTTGCAGCCATTTGGGGAGTGAAAAAGTAGGTTGGAAGATCTCTCTCTCCTTCCCTCCATATGTCTCTCTCTTTCTCTTCCTTTCTATGTAATTCTGGCTTTCAAATAACTTTTTTATGTTTAATTTCTACTTTTGTGTTCCTGCCACCTCCGCTCCTCTTCTTTCTCCCCATTTTTATTCCCTAGATGGTATTTGCAGCTTTCCTATTGCAGATAGTGTCTGACATAGTATTTGCTCAGTAAATATGCTATCAGGGCATATGAAAATTGAATGTAAAATAAACTTAGCTCTAAGAAGAAATTAATACCATGTATGGCACAGAATACATGGATCTAGAGATATTTTAGAGCGTTTAATTAAAATAGCAACTGAAAGTTATTGACTCCTTTAAACTTGTCCAGCTACTGAAAGAAATCCACAACCCAATTAGGATACAATTAATCCAAATAGCTTTCAAACTATTATTTAGGAGTCAGATTTTTCTTTTTTTTTTTTTTTTAAGATTTATTTATTTATTGGAAAGTCAGATATACAGAGAGGAGGAGAGACAGAGAGGAAGATCTTCCATCCGATGATTCACTCCCCAAGTGACCGCAACGGCCGATGCCATGCCAATCCGAAGCCAGGATCCAGGAGCTTCTTCCAGGTATCCCACATGGGTGCAGGGTCCCAAAGCTTTGGGCCGTCCTCTACTGCTTTCCCAGGCCACAAGCAGGGAGCTGGATGGGAAGTGGAGCTGCCGGGATTAAAACCGGCGCCCATATGGGATCCCAGTACGTTCAAGGCAAGGACTTTAGCCACTAGGCCACACTGCCGGGCGGGCCCCAGATTTTTCTTTTAAAATGTGCTGTTTTATGATATGCAAACCAGTGGTTTCAAACATGCTGATGTATCGGAATCTCCCAAGTGATCTTTGCCTTTTTTTTATTTGAAAGGCATAGCAGCAGAGAGAGATCTTCCATCCACTGATTAGCTCCCCTGATGGCCACAACATCTAGAGCAGAGCCCAGAAATCTCTCCTGGTCTCCACGTGGGGGACAGGAATACAGGCACTTAAGCAGTCCGATTGTCCTTCACTGCCTTCCCAGACGTAGAAGTGGGAAATGGATCTAAAGCAAATAGCCAGGACTCAGCACTAAGGGTGCCAGTGCTGCAAGCAGTAGCTTATCTTTCTGTGCCACAGTGCCAGGCCCCAAAAGTAACTTTTGAATAGACTTTTTTCCCTGGTGATTGTGATTTGTAAGTTTATGATAGGAATCAGGACCTATATTTGTATTTTAGAAAACTATACAGATAAACAGCCAGAGTTCTGGCATAATAGGTTAAGATGCTGTCTGCAATGCTGGCATCCCATGTGGGTGCTGGTTTAGATCCTGACTGCTCCATTTCTGATCCAACTTCCTGCTAATGCACCTGGAGAAGGAGGGAGAAATGATCCAAGTCTTAGGAGTCTCCTCCAGGATGCAGGGACCCAATCTCCTGGCTGTCACTGGACCCAGTGCTGGCTAATAGCAGCCATTTGGGAACTGAACCAGAAAATAAAAGATCTGGCTCTCTGTTTCTCCTTTTCTCTCTATAACTGCCTTTGAAACAAAACGTTTTCCCCAGCTCTTGATATTAATGCTAAAGTAAAAGACAATGATGGCATAATACCTGTTTTCCTCCTCTGTTTGTTTCTTACTTCAAAAACATAGGAACCATGAAAAACCTGTATTTTAATTGCTATGCAGGTATGGGTGGTAGTAGGATTAGGGAGCAGTTGTGTAGAGATTTTGGGGTCTGAATAGACGGAGGACCAGCCCTGGCATTGATAGGAAAGATAATGGGACTCATGTTCTCACCACATGTTAGTCTCCCATGGTTTTCTCAGTGTAGTCTTCACCTACTCTAAGAATGCTGGGGTTAATGAAGTTTCACTATTTTCACAAACTAAACTCTGTTGTCTTCTGTCTGCTTCCTTTCAGATCCCGGTCTCCAGACTCTCCTGCTTGCCATTTCCCCCGTCGCAGGTCTCTCCCAGGGCTCGGTTTCCCATCTCCATCACTAGTCCCAACAGAACAGGAGCCAGAACCCTGGCAGACATCAAAGCCAAAGCCCAGCTGGTCAAAGCACAGAGGGCAGCTGCTGCTGCAGCCGCTGCCGCCGCTGCAGCCGCCACTGTTGGTGGGACCATCCCTGGACCTGGCCCCGGGGGCGGACAAGCCTCGGGAGAAGGAGGTGAAAAGAAAGGTGCAGGAGGAGGGAGTCCAGGCCCAGACAGAGCCCGTGAAATTGGACCAGGCCCCACCGTGGAGCTGGCAGGAGCTGGAGGCAGGGGAGGTACGGGAGAGCTTTTACCCTGTGCTTCAGAGATTCAGCCCCAGCCTGCGGCCAAGACCCCAGGCCAGGCCCAGCTTCCTAGTGGCCCTGGATCACAACTACAGCAAACCCCCTCAGTGCCTCCAACACCTGTCCCCAGTGGAACAGGGCCAGGTGCCCCCTCTCCAGCCCACAGAGAGAGACTGAGCAGCGAAATGCTCCAGCCCACCAAGGCAGCATCCGCTGTGGCCTCTCTTAGTCACCCCACAGGGCCCAGTAGTTGTAGACAGGAAAAGGCCCCTTCTCCACCACCAGGTCCTACTCTACTCTCAGGGGGTTCCCCTGTTCGATTTGCAGCTGATGGCACTGTTGAGTCCAAAGCCAGTTCCAGTGAGAATACACCAAACCCTTCAACCTTGACCAAGGTAAATGCCAGTGCCCCGGTGGCCACAGTTCCCACCCCTGTTGCAGCTTTATTGACAACAGCCACTTTAGAGAAGCTCTCGGGCCCCCAGGTCAGTGTGACCACAGCTCCTCCTGGGTCAGCTCCTTCCTCAAGCACTTCGCCAGCAGCTTCTAGCCTTAAACCCCCAGGAACTTCCTTAAATGCCAACGGCCCCATTTCACGATCAAGCTCTAGTATCCCTGCTAATAATCCTCTGGTTACTCAGCTGCTTCAGGGCAAAGATGTGCCCATGGAGCAGATCCTGCCTAAACCTCTCACCAAAGTTGAAGTGAAAACGGTCCCCATGATCACAAAAGAGAAGGGGATAGGGCTAGCCCCAGGCAGCACCATAGCAGAAAGTAGCACCAGAGAGGAAGTCCATGTGCGACTGGTACATCCAGCTGTGCAACAGCTGGGAAGCACCTTGCAGAGTAAGCCACTCCCCCAGGGCCCCAGGCCCCTGCAGCTCTTGCCACCGAAGGACCTGAGGGACTTGAGCATTGACACACATCAGTACCAGGAAGGACTCAGCAAAGCAACCCAAGATCAGATCCTGCAGACTCTGGTCCAGAGGGTGCACAGGCAGAATATTCTCTCATTCGGGCCCCCCTCCCAGTTCAGCTTCCCCCACTCAGGTTTCCAGCTGGAAGACATCTCTACAAGCCAGAGGTTCATGCTGGGCTTTGCTGGCAGGAGGACATCCAAGCCTGCCATGGCAGGCCACTACTTACTGAATGTTTCAACCTATGGCCGTGGTTCGGAGAGCTGTAGGAGGGCCCATTCTGTAAACCCCGAAGACCGTTTTTGCCTCAGTAGCCCCCCTGAAGCCTTGAAAGTGGGGCATGCAGATAGTAAAAACATAACAGGCGACGACAGCAGCGGCAAAGAGGATGACACTGACGAGGAAAGTACGGGTGATGAGCAGGAGTCTGTGGTGGTGAAGAAGGAGCTCCCAGCTCCCCAGAGCTCCGACCAGGGGGACGTGAGTTCAGGACAACCCAGGAGAGATATGTCTATCAGCGACTGCTCAGCCAGCCGGGGTGTGAAGGCCGAGGCACCGGTGAGCGAGCAAACTGCTTCGACCAAGGAGAGTTACCTGTTCTCCAGAGGCCAGGCATTTGATGAGAAGACTCTGGCCAGGGATTTTATTCAGGTAGCACAGAAGCAAGTGGCTCATGCAGTGAGAGGGAAGACGATGCGGGGCAGCCCTGAGGTTTTCAGTTCTGCCCTGCCTCTGCCTGCTGACAGTCCCACCCATCAGCCTCAGCGCCTTCCCCCGCTACAAACCCCAAAGCTGTATGGAAGCCCCACACAGCTCGGGCCAAACTATAGGGGCATGATCAATGTCTCCACCTCTCCTGACATGGACCACAACGCTACTGTGCCAGGTAGCCAGGTATCTAGCAACGTTGGTGACGTCATGTCCTTCTCGGTGACCGTCACAACCATCCCTGCTAGCCAAGCAATGAATCCCAGCAGCCACGGCCAGACCATCCCCGTCCAGGCCTTTCCAGAAGAGAACAGTCTCGAGGACACGCCTTCAAAATGCTACTGCCGATTGAAAGCCATGATCATGTGCAAGGGCTGTGGAGCTTTCTGCCATGATGACTGCATTGGCCCCTCCAAACTCTGTGTCTCCTGCCTTGTTGTTCGGTAATGAGACCAGAAAGGTGCACGCTGTCAGGGTGGGGGCGGGGACAGGCTGCTAAGGTGTGCTTTTGGGGTCCTTTGGGAATCACAGAAACACATCGGTTTCAGTTGTCGTATCAGACAAATGCTAATCAGGAATGCAGAACGCAGGTCTTTTTTTTTTTTTTTTTTGCATTTTAGAGGAAGAGCACCTTGTATAGTTAAGTCTGAGTCAAGCAAGACTATGAATCTGTGACAAGTTTGCACTTAGAAAATCATGTAAATATGTCACATTTTTGTTTAACATTGTTTTCCCAAGTATTTAGGTAATAATGCATTGCTTTGAATTCAGATTTATGTTCCACTTCACGTGACTCTGAGAAAAGCCCACACATTACAAGCAAACTGCCTCCCTCCAACCTGGGCTGAGAGAGGCCCAGGAAAGCAGTCAGGAAGGTACGGGTGGGCTTGAAAATGACCACAGGAGAGGAGTGTGTCTTGACATGCTGGCTACAAGGTGTGCAGAGATGTTGCATCCTTTACAGGATTTGGGTTTGGGCTCACACGGCCCCTTTGTGTTAGACAGAAGCTGTTCAAGTTGACTTTTGTTGAGGCCTTAATCTCTCGGGCAGCATTTCAGACCCTGGAAGCTCCGGCTTGCTCTTGGCTTCAGTCAGCCCTGTCATGTCTCCCCTACGCCCACCCCGTCCCCACCCTGCTCTTGGCAGGCACTGCCCACAGTGGCCAGCACCCTGCCATTCCCTAACCCGGCCCCTCCACCCTGTGATGGGAGTGGCTGCACAGACCCTGTGTGTAACTAGCCTGCACAGGGCCGTGGTTCCAGCAATAAGAGCTGCGCACCTGGGACTTTTACAGACAGGTTTGAAATATGAAGGCAAACAGCCAGAGAGGAGTGAGTGATCAAGTAACTTGAACTATGTCTTGTTCAGTATAGGGAATAACTGCATAGATGGTTAAATTGGGCAGAAAGAACTCAGGAAAACAGTTTTAACACTCAGCACAAAGTAGCCTGTCATTTCCTCTTCTCTCCCAAACCACTAGCTGATGCTGTGTAGTTGCAGGTGGAAAAACTCCGTAACACCACACTGGCTCCTTCTCTTCAACCTGTTTTGCCTCCCAAGGTGTCCAAGGATGGAGCAATCTTATTTCATCTTAGGCTAAACACATGTGCATGCCCACACACAGTGCAGTTTCTGTTTTAGCCTGTGTGTGACCTGGTTTGGATCACTGCTACCTGCACTAGAAACGTCTTTCATTAAGGGGACTCGATGAACAGCTACAAAAGTGTCTGAAAGGAAGAAAAGTTGGCTATAAAACTTTACTGGTTTTTGTTGTTTTTTGGGGGTAGAGTGCTTTTCTTACTGTTTTTCAAATCCTTTTTAGTAGCTGAAGAATTTTGGAGTACATATTACTTAGGTTCTGGTTACAGAAGATTAAAATAAACTTACAGTTTACCAGACTTTGGTACTAAGTAGGAGATTGTCAACTTGTACCATGTGCATAGTAATTTCAAGTCTCCTAATTTGAAATGTGTAAAAATACTAGTACAAGATAGTGCAGATGTATTTGTACTTAATTTTCAGGGTGTGATATTTACAAAATGTGGAACAGTTTAAACTCATGATCGAGTCACATTCCAGGTTAGGAGAGCATAAGCAATAACAATAATAACCTCTGGTTTGCCCCATTCTGCTCCCTGCATCATATCCACTTCAAATCCTTCCCCTCACCCCCCACCCCGCTAGTCCTTGCTCCAAAGCCGGAAGAAACTTACTCTCCTGATTCTCATTTTTCTTTTCCAGCTTTTTTTGTGTCCCAAGGCAAAAAGAAGATCTGTGTCCCGGTTTCAGCCAAGGCAGTACGTCCTTCTGTCTTCCCTTTTTCTTCCAACACACACATAGCGTGGTTGTCATCAGAAGGGTAGGGAGTCAGCTTAGAGCCAAGAACCACAAGGAAACAGGAACTGTGGTTCTGCTGCCAAACTGGCTGGTGCCTGGGTAAGCCAAGTGGGGTTCCAAAGGCCCTTTGCTGGGTCATGCTTCCTACACATCTGACCCTTTTGCTCCTCACCTCAGCAGCTGTGCAGCCTGAAGGGGCCTGAGTGTTTCGGAACGGACCCTGTTGCCAAGTGTCAGCTGCCAGTTTGGATGGAATAAAATGACTGAACTTTGCTTCACTCCTCTTTCATCAGAAAAGCAGTTCTCCCCAAATCCTGTCTGAGAACAGATAGGCTACGATCCAGAAAGGGAGAACAGTGGCAGGGATCTTCCGGGCCAATTAGAGAGCAAACCACATCGTGCCTCACTTGCACTAGACCCAGGCTTTTGCTCTTGGGTCCTTAGCATTGCTGTTCGCAAATTTTCTCTAAGAATACTCCGCCGGTATGTGCTGACTGCCCCTGAACAGAAATTACCTGCTGGGCACTGTCTTAACCAGATGAGAAAACCATTAAGGACCTGTTAGACTGTGGCAAATTGAATACCAGTCATTTTATCATTTTGTTTCAAGACAGTTACTTTTAGAAAGTCATTCATCTCATAAATTGAACTGGGAAAAATATTAACAATTTGGCCCTTCAGAAAGTGAAGCAGTGGAAATATGAAAACTTTTACGTGATCAAGTGTGGTCCTCAAGGACCTTCACAACAATTTTTATCTCAGCTTTTGGTTTTTCTTTGGATCCAGTCCATGTCTCAGAGGATGATGTGCCACCATTTCCAGGGATGTTTCAGATGCCGAATCCAATGCGCTTGTCTCCCACATGGCCATTCCCTGCCTTCATTGCCCCGGCCGCATCCCACTGCAGGGCACCCCAGGACACATTACTAGCCTGTCATCTCCGTCTGATTCATAGATGTTCTCATTGGTCTAGAAGGGAAGGCTTCCCGAATCTTAAAGAAGTTTAATTAAAATTATCCACCTTTATTAAATAGAAAATAAAACCAAATAACCCAAAATAGTTTGCTCTACTTTTGGTCCTTAACCCCTGTGCTCCAAATGCTGAAGCTGTCTGTGGAATCCTGTCAGATTCTTAAAAGTGAGAGCTAATCAACAGGAAGTTTTTCCCCTGGGGTCCAAGGAGCACAGGCGCACGTGCTGAGAAGGTGCACAGACAGCAGTGTGCAAGAGCTGATCTCAGACAAGTTAGCAGCCGAAGGAGAACCTCGTTGCCCTCCTGGTGAAGGTGCAATGTCATGCATATTAATGACCCAACAGTTACCATCCCAGTTGTCAATTTCTGCATTTCCCCACCTCAGAGATCCTGAGAGAACTCTGTGATTTGGTTAGAGTGATGGGAGTCTCCTCTGAGTCTCTACTGCAACTTATTTCCAGAACTCGCAGTCAGGGAACAGTGCCGGGGTTGTTTTCTCTTTGATGTCATGTCATAGCAAGGAGAAAAGTCTCCCCATTGCATCACAGCCATATGCTAAGGAACAGCTTGACCTAGGGTAGTTCTCAGCCCAATTCATAGAACAGTCCAAAGAGACTCCAAGAAACATGTCAGGCAGGAACATTTCCTACCATATTTCAATACCTGCATACCTATTGAAAGAGACCAGTAGGTAACATTTCCTAAAGTTGAAGCAATAGCTTCCTAGATTCTTGGTTACTTTATTTTTTTTAATGCTTTACATTTGATACGACTATTAAAGATCAATTTTAAAAATAGCTTTCCAGTAATATATTTTAAGTAATATATATTTTAATATCTATGTAAAAAGTGACAGTGGAAGACTTTGGATTTCTCTTCTATGGTATGTTTAATGTAGGACCTCTCTGTTAAGGCACAAGTTATTTCAAAGGAAGTTGCTCTAAAGACACTCAGATTATTTCCCAGGAATGCAATAAGGGGAATCGTTTTGGGGGTTGTTTTTTATTTTAAAAGAAAATTGACTTATTTACCATGAGCTATTTTTTCCCTTCTGGCTATAAGGTTTGTACAGACTGGTTTGGTAAATGCTACAAAAAAACTTTTGTGTCTTTTGCCTTTTTAAAGGAATTGTTAACATTGGAATTGAGGGTATGTACAGAGAAGTTGGTGACAACACCATTTAAAAGTCATATTTTTTCACAAATATAGAAAAAAATCATTTTACATAAGAATTTTAAGTATTTGCAATAAATATATGTATATAGATTGTATGTATTCATATATTCTTATTTTTCATTTTATTAAGTAAAAGAAAATTAAAAGTGAAAATTAAAACTTTGGAGTTTTTGGTGACTCTTGAGGTCTGCCACGTGCCAGACGTGGCCTGGGGGAAGCTTTGGGTTGCTGCCATGCTTGCACCAAGACGCACACGAGGGACTTGCCGGAGAACCTGGTAGGCTCTCCCACTGAGATTCAGCACAAGCGTTACTGCGTTCTCCTAGTTTGTCTTTCTCCCTATCTCATAGTTCCTACTGGAAAAGTAAAGCTACAGCACAGTGCCTTTTTTTTTTTTTTTTTTTACATACCCATGGTTTACCTCTAAAAGGAAAAAATGACAAAACTCCTTAGAAAAAAAGTTTCCTGTCTCCACATTACTCAGTATTCGTTAGTGAATCCTCCCTTGCACCACCTTCTAGGTGCTAGTGGTGTATGAAGAAATCCTTTCCTGAAGATCCTTGAAAACTTGCTAGCTGTCACCTGTACCTCGGAGAAGGGGTCCACAGCCAGGGCCACACCTAGCCTAACTAATCATGAAAGGCTGGGTCAGAGCTGGGAGGCTTGTGAGAGAAGAAACATCTGTCTTTGTGTTTCCATCATTAAAACTTGGCATTTTGAACTTGCTGGTATTGAGCAGGATGTAGTGGAAATGAGGATGAGTGCAGTGTCCAGGGAAATTGATCGTCCACAGTCCCACACCTACTTTGCTGTCTAAGAGAATTCCCATTTGTGGTTGTAAATACTTTGTTTTAGGATATGATGGAGGGTGAAAATCTATACTAGATGGTCTTCTGAAATAAATATGTAGCCTGTTCTTTAAAATCAAATCATATATGGATTCACTGTTGACCTGGAAGAAAAATTGGGAAGGTCAGTGTCTTTTTTTTTTAAAGAGTGTATCTTGATGGCCCATGAAATTAACTTTTTATTGTATTTTAGTAGTTGATTCTCTCTGTAATTGCCCAGCTGTGGTTGTTCTTGTTGGAAAAAATAGCATATTTTGGAAATTTATTTACAGTGATATCTTTTAAAGGCAGCATTTTTCATCCATGTGAGTTGCCCAAAGACAAAAGATAGTTCAGCCATCTAAAACCACAGCATCGGAGATAACTAGCTGAAAGGGCCTACTGCTGCAGGAAATGAGTTCAACCTCAGGGAACATTGCATCCTCACTAATTCCAGAACATTCTACATGGACGTTAGTGTAAACATCTGAATGTGTTATATACATACCGCTGGGATTTAAATGAGCTGCCTTCTACCTCATGGGGAATCACATTCCTCCACTACAGGTGATGACTTGGGGTAACTGATCTATAACTAGTTGAGAAGAAGCACTATGTTGACATAGGAAGCTTTAGTTTGCTTCCTCCAGCCACCATTTACAAACTCCACAGTCTAAGAAGCCTGTGTCTGATGCCATCAACACTGCCAAGAAAGCTTTGGTCACAGTGGTGTACAGAGTTGTGTCAACTGTACCTCCCCAAGGGCTTCCTTAAGTAGTATCCACATGGCATGCTTCTTGAGAGTAGTAAGTGCTGTGATGCTCTGTGTTTGAAAGTTGTTTTTATTGGAAAGTTGGATTTACAGAACGAGATTCTGTCTGCTGGCTTACTCCCCAAAATGGCCATTACAGCTGGAGCTGGGCCGATCCGAAGCCAAGAGCTGCTTCCAGATCTCCCACATGGCTGCAGGGTCCCAAGGCTTTGGACCATCCTCTGCTGCTTTCCCAGCCCACAGGCAGGGAGCTGGATGGGAAGTGGTGCAGCTATGACATGAATCGGCGTCCACGTAAGGGATCCCAGCAAATGGCAAAGTGAGGATCTATAAACTAGGTTGCCATGCTGGGCCCAGCATTTGAATTTTATAAAGCCTTAGCAAAACCCTAGTCCTTTTCATTTTAGGGACCCAAACTTTTCTTTTTTAAGATTTGTTTATTAGAAAGGCAAGTCAGATTTACAAACAGAAGGAGAAATGAAGAGAAAGATCTTCTGTCCACTGTTTCACTCCCCAAATGACTGCAATGGCTGGAACTTAGTCGATCCAAAGCCAGGATCCTGGAGTTCCTTCCAGATCTCCCATGTGGGGCACGAACCAATGCCCATATGGTATCCCAGCACTTGCAAGATAAGGATTTAACCATTAAGCCATCACACTGGAGCCTCCAATTATTATAAGAAAAATTGTTTCCGGGCCCGGCGACGTGGCCTAGCGGCTAAAGTCCTTACCTTGAACGCGCAGGGATCCCATATGGTGCCAGTTCTAATCCCGGCTGCTACATACACTTCCCATCCAGCTCCCTGCTTGTGGCCTGGGAAAGCAGTTGACGGCCCAAAGCTTTGGGACCCTGCGCCAGCGTGGGAGACCCGGAAGAGGCTCCTGGCTTCAGATCGGCATAGCATCAGGCATAGCATCAGCCGTTGCACTCACTTGGGGAGTGAATCACTGGATGAAAGATCTTCCTCTCTGTATATCTGACTTTCCAATAAATAAATAAATAAATCTTTAAAAAAAAATTTTTTTTATCAGTGGTTTTTTTTTTTTTTGTCAGTACTTCTTGTATTTTCCTTACCAGTTGTCTTTTCACCTGGGTTACTGGATGTGGCACTTTCATGTCCAACAGGCCAAGAGCTTTCATGTGTCCTCAGCTGTCCAGGCATGGGGGAGGGAGGCCATGAAAAGCACCCCACCCCCCTTGCCAATACCTGGTGATACTCCATGGAAGGTTGAATTTCTTCAAGAGTGTCTGTAGACTTAGGAATGCCATAACGCCATTCAGCTCTCCACCTACACCTGTAAGAGACATTCCTGGAAGAACTTCCTCACGTCAGGAGGGACAGGGAAGCTTAGAACAGGAAACGGGTCAGAGGGGAGCTGGAAGCAGGGCTCTGGCAGGACTGCTGATCCTTCCAGCACTGAAGAAGGTGAAGAGAATCTTGAGAAGAAAATCCTGGTTTCCATCTTAACTACAAATCCTACTGGGTTGCTTTGGAGAGATTGGTTGACTTTTAAGTAGATTGTTTTGTTAAAAAAAGATCTTTGGGTACACTTCCTCAGATGCTGAAGTGCCAAAAGGTACACCGTCAAATCTGATTTGAGGCTTGCTGTGGTTATCTGTCCATGGTGGCCACTCTTGACACTGATGGGAATTTGGAGTTGTGGCCTGTGTGTTGGAAGTCATGGGATTTGGCTTCACAGTTTCACCAACTTCAGCCAGGAATTGTCTTTTTAAAAATCTAAAATCCCAAGTTAGTTCCTTAAGAAATCCATTTAACAAATGATCACAAAATAACCTGGAGACACTTTTTAGAACTCTTGTTTTACACACAGCCTGTGCATCTCCTGAAGAAAGTTAATATGTGACATTTTACATGTCCTGGGTACGTTCTTCCAACAGCAGAATCTGTTTTCAGGCACCAACACCTGCGGGGAGAGTGGGCGTATCATGGGGTGGACTTGAACCCAAAGTCAGCACTACCTATCCTGCTCAGTTTTCAGACAACAGCAGTTTTGAGACAGCTGAGCCTGTGTATGACACCGTTGTACAAGCTGTAATGTTCTGGGGTCTCAGGTTTGGTTACCCTTTTCACTAGACAAGAAGGTAGATCATGAGCTCAGGAAAGACCCACTAAGTTGTTCTTTGATAATAAACTGCTAACTGAAGAGCAATTCTTGAAGAAGTTGCAAAATTCCTGGAATGAATTAAAGATCTAGAGTGTGTGACGTAAAACGCTGGAAATTTAAAAACCTTTAGCCAAAAGTGCTTTGACCTGTCCTTTAAAACCCATCTTCTGTAACTCGGCATCACACCTTTCACCAGCAGCAAGAAAAATCAGAACGGAAGAAATGCCCTCAAGTTGGTTGGCCTTGTTCACTCAGATCTGTGTACACAGGCCTTGTGGCTGGACAGACCACACTCTTGCCCTCTGGCTCCTCACCATCTATCCCTCTTATGTTTAGATTATTCTCTTTATTGGTCCTGCAAAAGCCACCTGGAGAGTTGAATGTACAATAATGTCTCTGCACATGGACAAACTTTCGTTGATTCGTTTTGAATAAAGGCATACAGTTGTATTCCAGCAACCATGCTCTTTATTTTCTGAGGAAACTGGATATGTTCTCAGGTGACTTACCTGCTGTTGTCCCTTTCCTTGAGTCTGATGGCATGGCTATCCCCAGACTCTCACTACAGTTGAGTACTACAGAGTACTGGTCCCTTCCACAAACTTCGAGTGAGTTTAAGAATTCAACGTGAACCCAAATGCAAAGGAAATCTATGCTGAAAGAGTATATAGTAATCACAGCAGTGTGTCAGTAGCATAAAGACACAAAGTGATGGGATAAAATAGCCCTGGAAAAAAAACCTTTTATCTCCAGCCGAATTATTTTCAACCTGAGTGCCAACAACAGTGATGCTGGGAGAACTTGACGTAGACTTGCCGAGAGTATAGTCAGACCCTCGCCTAACCAGAAACAAAAAATACATTGAAGGGGAAGAATTACAGAACTCTGTAAAGAAAACAGAGCTTTATAACTGAACTTAACAATGGTTTCTTGGCTCTATGCCAAAAGCCGGGGTGGCAAAACAAAAATAGAAAAGCAATTCAACTGAACGTTTTTGTATCAAATGACATTGTTCATTGAAAAAGACA